ATGTATGCCCCCTCTTTCCATCCATTTTTGAAGCTGGGAACATGGGAAGTAGGTATCTATTTTTCTGTATTGCCCCAAAATGCCTTTTGATTGCATTGTTCCTCTCCAGCATCAATACTACACCCTGACTATAAACTGCTCGGGTCCTTCACCTGGACGTGTCAAGTCTCTTTCCACCTGGTGTTTTGGCTTTCGCCTCTATCCCCTCAAATTTATTTACCATCTGGTAGCCAGAGCAAGCTTTCTCGAAGTAAGATCATGCTATGTATGAACGTTTTACTTAGGTCCATGACTGGGTTTCCCAGAGTTCTGGTGTGGTGTTGCTGGATAAGAGCTAGACTGCTAATCGCAGTGTTGGCAGTTCAAATCCACCAGGTACTCCTCAAAAACCCTAGTCAGGGTTGCTCTGAGTCAGAACTGACTCAGTGACAATTAACAGCAGCAATAATAATGGATTTCCTTACCTCCACCCTTGAGCTTAGAATGAACCCCCTACTCTTTAGAGTAGTCCACAAAGCCCTGATGCTTTGTGAACCGCGAGTTCATTACAAGTCACCCACTCCTTTGCTATACCACATTAGGCTTCTTTCTGTTCTTCAAACATCCTAGGCTCAATTTTTGCCTTGGGGACTTAGCACAAGCTAATTGTGTGTAATGGGATGTTTTCTAGAGACTTTTCTTTGCCACTTCTCTATTAATCTGTTAAGAATCCTTGATTAATAACCATCTGTGTGCACGCACACGCACAGATGCACACACCTGTATAAGTACATGCCAGTGTGTCCCTCAGAAGCTAGCACACAGTTATCAGTGTGTATTTATCAGATCAAACAAAACCAAACCCATTGTCATGAAGAGAATTCTAGCTCGCACAGGGTTTCTGAGACTGGAAACCTTTACTGAAACAGAAAACCTCACCGTTCTCCATCTGAGCAACTGGGATGGGTTTGAATTGCTGACCTTTCGGTTAGTAGTCCACTGCTTATCCTAAAGTACTGTGGTGGTGGTGTGCGTGGACTCGGTACCAACTCATAGCGACCCTGTATAGGATTTCTGAGGCTGCAAATATTCATAGGAGCAGAAGGCCTAATCTTTCTCCCACAGAACAGCTGGTAGTTCCGAACATCTGACTTTGAGGTTAGCAGCCTTACTTGTAACCACTACGCTACCAATGCTCTTTACAGGGAGTGCCATGAGGACTGTTGTTTATTGGAAGAATGAATGAATGTATTTCAAGCAGTCACTCGGAAAGGTCTAGTCCAGACATTCTGTCATAGGTATGGCAGGTTCTTCACTATCTTCATGTTCTTAGTTTGCATAGGAGTACTGAACCGACTTGAAAGTGTAGCTTTGCTTTTGGGTGAGTTTCTCACCTAGAAAAATGAGATGAAAGACAGTCACATTCGATGCAAATCTGATCCAGAGTTGTAACTAACTCAGTAGGTAATTCATTCTCTTGCCCCAAGTCTTCTGGGACTCCTGAAGAGGCAAACAAGTTGACTTTAATTTGCACAATATATAAACACTACCTTTCTGTTGAACAATTTTGGTTCTAAGCAGATAAAGGACATCATAGCTAATTAGCAGCCTCATAGAAAATGAAAGGCATATTTAAAACTTTTCCAGACATAGCAGAGTTTCAAAATAAACCCAAGTGCCAACAAGATATTAAATGCAGACTGCATCTTCAAATTAAGTAGTTTTTGTAATTGGACTTGAAAGGAAACATAAAGTGAGGTCAAATTGTACTGGGTGGGAAATCGAAGAAGCATCTAGAATATTTTGCATTTACTCCATTAGCATGGTTTAGAAAAAGACAGTTAGTAGTAGGTTACTGGTAGTACAGTTGTTTCAGCACATTCTGAGAATCTGGTTTTTCTTTTCCACAATTCAGGAACAGAATTTAAATGCCACTTAAAAGGGACACAGAGGTACAGTTTGACTGAAAGTCAGCTTTGCCAAGTTGTTCCAGATTGTCTCTGTATTTTGTGTTAAATTGGACCTTAATGAGTCATTTATTGGGGCGGTCAGAAAGAGTGTTTTAATTTGAAAAGTGGCCCAAGAATTTCCAGTATTTCATTTGTCCACCCTGGAGTGACAGCCTTCTCTTCAGTAAACTTAAGCAATCCAGATCTGCCATGTTGGGAATGGTTTACGGGACAGACATCTGAAGAGTCTTAGAAACCCACATCATGACATGCAGAATTTCTGTGTGCACGTGTATATGTATGCTCATATGTGTGTGTGTGTGTGTGTGATAAAGCACATGTTTATTTTTATTTGAGAGAAAGGTCCAGGTCTTTTGAATGACTCTCAGTTGGGCATAGTTGTTATAAAGGTATTATTCTCCAGTGTCAGAAAAGGGACTGAATGGAACAAGGGTTCAAATTCAGTGCCAAGGGGCAACAGCCCAAGAAAAGGTATGTACACACACCCTTCCTACTTTTGGGACAGTGGGACAGGATCATCAGTGTAACCTCACAGAATACCAGTGTGCATGTTTCTGTCAGGTGATACTGCAGCACAGCTCCCTCTGCCTTCCTCAGGTGAAGCCTTGTAAACAGTCGTCTCAGCATGAAGGACTAGTGAGGTGGCTTGCCAAAAGCTAGGAATGTGTAACTGGGAGGTGAAATCAGTCTTGACCAATGGCCCCATCAACCTGGTACCTAATAAATACACTATGAGGAACTGAGCGAGAGTAGGCATTTGAAAGAAGACGTGCACTTCTCAGGGTAAACTCAGAAATGTTTTCTTTACATCACATCTTTTCTTCCCCCCTGAAAGTTGAGCAAAAATAAAACACAAACAAAATCTGAAAATAGAAAGTAACCGTCTCTATTAATTCTGTTGAGCAAAGTTCATTTCCAAACGAAAATAGCTTTAACTTTTGTCTTGCGTAGGAAAAAAGCATTCTATGTGCATTATTCAAATAAATTGTAGACCATCAGGAAAAGAAAAAGTTAAGAGTGGAAAAAATGTATAATTCTACTTTTCTTTTTTAAAAAAATGTGCTAGTGTACACACCAGTAATAGGCGGGTACTGTACATGTTCTTTTGTAATTGACATCCTTTCCAAGACCACATGGAAAAGAAAAAAAAAATTACCATGATAATATAAAAGAGAATGGGATCTGTCTTTGCACTTAGTGCCCCCTCTGGAGACAGAAACCTGGCTATGCCAGACAAAGTTTAGGTCTTGCAGGAAGGACAAGTCAGAAGTTGGCAGAACAGATTCCATGTCTTTGGAATGCTAACACATTCAAGTTTGGCTCAGCACATCCTCAAAAGATAGTCTTCAAAAATTCTGTTGATAAAGTGTTATAAATGGTGTTTATTCCCAAAGTGCCCCAAGAAATGTAAATGTGTTTTCCTGGCATCTTCACAAGAGTATATTGGCCCCTTGAATCTAAGTAAGTTAAACCTCTCATGAACTTTTACCAAGACTTCTGAGCCAACTCATAATAAGATCCTCAAATTTTCCCCACAAGCACACCAAATATGTTTTAAAAATACCTTCTTGTCCTCATTAAGCACATGCCAAATTTCCCTCAACTTTGAATCCTTGCCAGAACTCTTATTCACATTTGTAATCTGTAATAGTCAAGGGCAAATGAAGTTTCTGTTCATCTTGGGCTTTCTTCAGGTACTTGTTTCAAAGAAAAGACTAGACAGAGAGATATTGGAGGATCCTGAGAATGTAAAAAAGAAATCTTGGAAATTCCCAGCAAGATGAAATATGTAAAATACTTGGGTTGAAAAAGAGGAAAAACTGTCTTGGTAGGATTGATTGTAGGACCTTGTGGAAATTTTTGGTGCTTTAAAAACTTTAGGGAAATAGAATGATCTAGGTTAATAATCATGGAATTAGTTTATATATAAACTACATAAAGAATCCACAGGGAGAAGCAAGATGCCCTGGGGTCCTCTACCCATTTAGTAGGATGCTTTTAAAGAAGAATATAATGATGGGGTATCTTCTATATGGGAGTTAGGATCCTAGGATGAATAAATGGGTAAAACTAAACCCCTGGAATTAATCTTTTATTGGTGAAAATAAGAACTAACATGATCTCTCATTTTCTTCCCACCAGATTTTCCTCTTCATTTAATCTCCATTCATACAAAGAACATTTTATAAAATGGGAAGGGTCTTTGCTAGACAGATTTTAATGAACATGAAATTGTTCATTCTGTTGAAATTTAAATGAAATTCTTTCCCTTTGAATAGTACTTGGATTCTTGACAAGTTGAGCATCTAAAACATTTAACCCCTTGAGTTAAATCTGTATATAAAGTTTGACCTTGGTTTTCTACCAAGAGTAGTGTCAGGAGGTCAAGAAGTAAAAATTCATGCCTACAAAATTGATTAGCTAAGAATTATACTTGCTTGTCATAAATTATTTATATACTTTTAAGTATCAGTGAACCTGTGGTTCTGGGCTGGATTTTTAAATGATCCAATCCTTGTCTTTGAGTGTCTTGTAGTCTGGAAGAACTCATGGAAAATCCATAAGGAAGAATAAGGTGTCTTATTATTAAAAGATACAAGAAATGAAGAAGGAAGGAGTATTTTTAGCACTGATTGTATTTTTTCCAGATATTATAGATTTGCATTTAAACCACTCTTAGTATTTTTATGTCACATGTTTTTATTTTTTTAAACAAAAAATGTTAAAGCAGATACATCTTGTAATAAATGACACTGGTGTCTTAGCCTGAGAGTCTATGATAAAAATTGGATTTGTTACCTGCAACAGCGTAGAGAGCGGTATGGTTTGTGATTATGTCTTTCCATCTGGCACGCCCATCTCCCTGTCTGCCAATCACCTGGGGATTTATCTGCATTCAGCACTAGCTGGAGAAAGTTTGGAAGCCAAAATGTTGATGTATTTATGTATGTGTGTGTGCAGAAGTGCTGAAAACAGAAAAACTGATGGGCAACTCCCACTCAGAAAGCCAATAATAACCTCATCTTGCTTCTTTCACTCACTTACTTTTAGCAACCACTGGAAAGGAAAGACAGCCAGAATAGTTCTCAGCACAGTGTTTCCAGCCACCGAAGTCTTCACACGGCATCCCCAAGCCACAGCACACAGGTGCTTCCCGAGTACCCACCTGCAGACGCTCCAGCTCCCGATCACACTGACAGCTCTGGGCAGAAAAAGCCAGACCCTTTTAAAATCTGGGCCCAGTCCAGGAGCATGTATGAAAACCGACGTGAGTAGCACTCTGCCTTTCTGACCTCCCTGAGCCCCTCTCCAGGCTTCAAACTTTCTCTTGAGGCTTATTAGAAACAAGCGATTTTCAGCATGTAGATGAGATGCAGGTAAATTTAGATACGGAGTAAAAGCTGCTCAAAGGCGCCAGTTGAATCCCATAGATGTTCATGGAAGGGTCATTATGTCTTCATTGTTTGGTGAGGGGAGAAATGGATGACCATCAAATCACTGGCCTGGATAAAAATGAATTTATTTTTCCCTTCAGTTAAAAGAAGCGGTGGGGAAGAGATGCTCTGTCATTAATTCTTCACAGAGTGGAGACTAGCATGCCATGAGATCATGTATTGTGAAACAGCTCTGGTACACAATGGAACATAAATAGGATTGGTTTGGATTGCAGACATAATGGGAGCAAATGAAATGCTTTTTTAATGGTCTCTTGATTTTTACCAGTATTGGGTTGTTTGTTTGTTTTTTTTTTAAACATTATCCCTTTGTCTAAAGAGTTCCTTAAAAAAACAAACAAATCGACCAATAAACAACAATGATTTGTGCTTTAATTATTTACACAGTTGTTAAATGTATCCCTTTGGCTTTACCTTTTCGACAGTTTTGAGCTTTTCTATAAATACGTAATCTGTAACCTTTGACTTTTATAACATAAAATTCTTCCCATGTTTAATTTCTCAGTAAAAGAATTTCCATGATGCATAGCGTTTATGAATCTTAGCAATGAAAGTTGTTAAAATGCTTTAATCTTGTTGTTGTTATTGTCAGGTACCATGCAGTTGGTTCCGACTCACAGCGGCCCTATGCACAACTGAATGAAACACTGCCTGGTCCTGTGCCCTTCTCACAGTTGTTGTTACACTTGAACCCATTGCTGCTGCTGCTGTCTCAATCCATCTCATTGGGGGGATCTTCCTCTATTTCACTGACCCTCCAGTTTACCAAGCATAATATCCTCCTCCAGGGACTGGTCCCTTCTACTATCATGTCCAAAATATGAGAGAGAAAGTCTCACCATCCTGGCTTCTAAGAAGCAGTGTGGCTGTACTCCTTCCAGCATAGGTTTATTTGGTCTTATGGCAGTCCCTGGTACTTTTAATATTCTTTTCCAACACCTTAACTCCAAATACGTCAATTCTTCTACAGTCTTCCTTACTGACCCACTTTGACATGGTTTGCGGTAGTTGAACCTTAGTCCTCAAAGTGACATCTGTGCTCTTGAACACTTTAAGGATTTGCCTACTGGAATATGTCACTTGATATCTTGACTGCTGCTTCCATGAATTATGATAGTGGATCCATGCAAAATGAAGTCTTTGACAACTTCAGTCTTTTCTCCATTTATCATGATGTCATTTATTGGTCCAGTGGTGAGGATTTTTGTTTTCTTTACATTGAACTTCAACCTATAATGAAGGTCTCTAATCTTCACCAAGAAGTAATTTAAGTCCTCTTTGCTTCTAGCAAGTAAAGTTATATCATCTGCATATAACATTTTATTCATGAGTCCTCTGCCAATCCCTATGCCACATTTTTTGTATGATCCAGCTTCTTGGATTTTTTTGCTCAGCATACCAATTGAATACCTATGGTGAAAGAATACAGTCATGGCACACACCTTTCCTGTTTTTAAACCATTCAGTGTCCCCTTGTTCTTTGCTAACAACTACCTCTTGGTGTACGTACAGGTTCCTCATGAGCACAATCAAGTGCTCTGGAATACTCATTTTTTACAATGTTATCCATAGCTTGATAGGATTCACATGGTTGGAAACCTTTGCATAGTCGATAAAGCACAAATAAAAATGTTTTTGATATCCTCTGCTTTCAGCCAAGATCCATCAGACGTAAGCAATGTCCTTTTCTGAATCCGCTTTGAGTCTCTAGCAGTTCTCGTTAATGTACTGTTGCAGATGTTTTTGAATTATATTAAGCAAAAGTTGACTTGCATGTGATATTAATTATATTGTTCGATGATTTTCACATTCCTTTAGGTCATCTCTAGTTGGAATGAGCACAAATATGGATTACTTCCAATCGGTTGGCTAGGTACCTGTCTTCCAAATTGCTTGGCATACTTGAGTGTGTGCCTCCAGTGTTGTGTGTTGAAAGATTTCAATTTGTATTTCACCATTTCCTGAAGCCTTGTTTTTTGCCAATGCCTTCAGTGCACCTTTGACTTTTTCCATTGGTACCACTTGATTATATGCTACTTGAAATGGTTGAACATTGACCATTTCTTTTTGGTACAGTGACTCTGTGTACATCTTCTATCTCCTTTTGATGCTTTCTGCATCATTCAATATTTTGCCTGTGTTGTTGTTGTTGTTGTTCAGTGCCGCCGAGTCCGTTCCAACCCATAGTGACCCTATGGGGTTTCCGAGGAGCAGCTGCTCATCTTGAACTGCCAACCTTGCAGTTCAAATGGATTTGCAGTCTGGCACATTAACCCACAGCACCACATCAGGACTCATTCATTTTGCCTGTAGAATCATTCAGTATTGCAAATTGAGACTTGAATTTGTTCTTCATTTCCATCAGCCTGAGAAATACTGAGCATTTTTTTCCCTTTGGGTTTTTTAACTCCAGGTCTTTGTATGTTTTCTTGTAATACTTGACTTTGTCTTATTGAGCTACCCTTTGAAATTTTTTCTTCAGCTCTTTTACTTCCTCATTACTTCCATTTGCTTTAGCATCTCTATGCTGGAGAGTGAGTGTTGTCTCTTCTGACATCCATTTTGGTCTTTTTTTGGTGGGGGGCGGTCTTCTTTCTTTCTTCCTATATGTTGTGATGTCATCCCACAACTCTTCTGATTTTTGGTCATTAGTGAATAATGCATCAAATCTGTTCTTGAGATGGTGTCTAAATTCAATTGGTGTATGTTCAAGGTTATATTTTTGCTTTCATGGACTTGTTTACTATTCTTTAGCTTTAGTGTGAACTTGTATATGAGCAATTGATGGTCTGTTTCACAATCTGCCCCTGACCTTGTTGTGGTTGATGATATGGAGCTTTTCCACTGTATCTTCTCTCAGATATTGTGACTCCTGGTGTATTCCATCTGGTAAGGCCTTTTGTGTTATTTTAAAAAGGTATTTGCAATGAATAACTCATTGTTCTTGAAAAATGCTGTCATGTGATCACCAGCCATACTTCTCTCCATCCAGATCTATCACAAAGGTCATATTTTCCAACTATTGATCCTTTCTCTTATATTTCCATCTTTTGCATTCCAATCACTAAAACATGTTAATTGCACATTTGATTAATTACAGACTGAAGAAGTTGATACATTTTTTCAGTTTCATCATCACTGGCTGTAGTGGTTGGTCATATATTTGAGTAATAGTGGTATTAACTGGTCATTCTTGTGGGTATATGGATTTTATCCTATCACAGACAGCATTGCACTTCAAGATCTTAAAATTTTCTTTTTGATGATGAATGCTACCCTAGTTATCTTGAATTTGTTCTTCCAGGCATAGTAAACCTTATGATTTTCAGATTCAAAATGGCCAGTATCAATCTATTTCAGCACTCTCATGCCTAGGATATTGATCTTTATGCGTGCCATTTCATTGTTGTCAAGTGTTCAATTTTCCTAGATTCATACTTCCTGCATTACATGTTCTGGTTATTAATGAATGTTTGCATCAGTATTCTCCTCATACTGAGTTGTGTCCCATCATATAACAAAGAATACCTTAGATTTACTTCATTTGTGTCATCACGGTCCCCTCTACTTTGAGCAGTCACCTCCTCCCCAGTTGCATTTTGAGTGTCCTCCAAGCTGAGGGGCTCACCTTCCAGCACTATATCTGACAATATTCTGGTGTTCTTTGTAATGTTTTTATCTTTAAACACTATATCTAACAGTGTCCCATTGTTGTTCCTAAGGTTTTCATTGACTAAACATTCAGAAATTGTCTGCCTCTGTTTATTCCAAGTCTGTCTTATTCTGGAAGCTCCCTTGAAACGTTTCCATGATGGGTGGCCCTGCTGGTTTTCAATATACCAGTGTTGTAGGTTCCAGCATCACAAGCAACATGCAAGCCACCTCCATAGGACAAACTGACAGATGACTAGTGGTTTATCAGATAGGAACAAACAGAATGTTGCAAGTCCTGTTTATATGCAGAGTTAGTTATAGAGCTCCATCATCACATGATCTCTGGTCTTCAAAAGGAGAAACTGAACTGGTAAGGGTTAACCTTACTTTCTCATTTTAAGTGAAGTAAACAGAACTTGTATTGCTGCCATTTTCCCATGAGTATATTTTATAAGGAAGGGAGTATGTGTGAAGTACGTTTACCTTATTTTCCCTTTTTAGCAAAGAACAGGAGAGAATGTATAATGAAGGCAGGGGCTACATTTGATTAAGGGTCTGAGTAAAATTGGAAGAGAGACGATCGTTTTGCCCCGTCCACCTGTCACCACAGGCTTCCTTTATAGTCACAGCTCTTGTTACCTCCCAGGTAAAACACCCAGGAAAAGTCAGGGTAAGAGATTCTGTGAGGCATAAGAGATACTTCAACCTCTTGCAGTTGATTTGATACATTTCCCTTGGTAACTGACCAACTGAATCCAGTTGCTGCTGGTCAGCTTCCCTATGACCCAAACAAAAGAGGCGAATGAAGCCAATATCCTTGTCTAAGAAGGAAAGTTAGCCATACTCCTAGGTGAAATTCAACAGCTAAGGAGCACAAGGCAAATGTGGAGGCTTGCAATTACCAAATACTAGAAGTTACTCTATCCTTCTCTTCCCAAGAAAGAAACACCATTGCCCTTCTACTGTTCCAGTGTATGGAATTCAGTAGGCTGTTTTGGCTAAGGCTTTATTATGTGGACAAAAGCCAGATCATATGTGAATGGATTTATTTAGTTCCTGGGCTAGAAGGACACCTCTAGAGTCTCCCTGAGGCTTGGCCACAGGAAATGACGTTTCATTAGAAACATCACTAGTCAGAAGTAGATGCTGAATATGAACCTGAGATATGTCTCCTCACTAATTGAAGAAATGTTTTCCAAGTGGGATGTTTTCACAATCACTATATCGTTCTCTCTAGCCATGCAGCTCCACCGATCAATGATCCAACTTCAGTTGATGTTGAAAGATTGCTTTATCAGTGATGTCTCTCCTTTTCTCAATGCAGTACATATTTGTGATTAGGCTTCCATTGTATGAATCATTCTGGGATCAAATCAGTGATGTGCTAAGCTGTTAGTAGGGCACCGTGGATTGACAGAAAATGTTAACATATCTGTTGAATAGAAGGCCCCAGCTCAAATGCCAGATGCATCCACATTTAAGCAAAATTTCTTAAGAACTTGTCACAGCCAACTGCTTTGCTTTACATATTGAAATTGCTCAGGTGGCAGCCAAATCCAAATACTCAGAAGGGTGCCAGTTTTCTTCATCTTCTTGAGCATTTAAGGGGTAGGATGTAGCAGTACACATAAAAATCCTTTTTTTTTCAGTGCTTGGAGCCCTGGGCAGATTTCCCAGTCAGTAAGGTAAGATTAGTAAGTAAGCACAAGTAAGCTTATGCTTTCTTTCCTTACTGGCTAATCTGCTCATCAGAGATTGTAATTTTTGAAAAGAGGTTTTGATTCACTAAGTGGGACAAGTTAACCATGCTTACCTTATTGGATAATCTGATCGCTGGTGTGGCACTGTGGATTAATGTGCTGGACTGCAAAGTTGGTTTGGACACACAGTCAGCGGTTCAAGCTCGCCAGCTATTCCTTGGAAACCCTATAGGTCAAAATGGGTCAGAACCCTATGGGGTAGCTATGAGTCAGAACTGACTTGATGACACTTAACAACAGCAACAAATTGAGTGATAAAAACAATCTAATGGTTGTTAAGTTTCACAGAGATTTCTCCTTTACCACTAAATGAGGATAATGATGAGATGTTCTCCCCACTGGTAACTATTCAGTATCTGCCATAGATTTACTTCTTTTCACATTACCTAAGCATGAACCAACAGCAACCTGTCTTTTCTTCAGAATTTTGCTTTAGCCACAAAACAGTTTCTACCATTCCCCTACATTACTTTATAGTATGTATGTGTTTTGTTTTGTTTAAACTACAGCACGTATGTACCCTTGCTAGATTTAATTCCCTGCCTCTCCCCACAAGACATATTAAAATGAGCAAAGTTGGTAGTGCAGGTCAAATTGGAAAATAGAAGTCAGAAACAACATCATAACTTTACCCCTTTTTTGTTGAAAGTATATTTTTCTTAAAGCAATATGACTATTAATATGATCTCTGATCCAATTCCTTCACATGGGCCATAAGCTCTGAAAGCTAACTCTATTTTTGTTATGGCCATCTGTCAAAACAGCAGTGAGAAAATGAATTGATTTAGATTGTAGATGTGTTAATGAATCCCTTTGGAGGACTTTAAATGGTTAATTAAAAACAAAGGCAAACATTGGAGTGTTCTAAAAGACATGGCCTTCGGTCTTTTCTCTAGGTAACATAATAATCATGCACAGATCTTTTAAAAAGGACATTGATGTGATCTTATTAGTAAGCAAATGTTTGGGGAAAATAAGCTAATATGCAATAGCATTTGCTAAGGAAGTAAGTGTAAAGCTTGCCATCGAAATTTTGCCTGCTCAAACAGTAGTTTGGAGATAAAAAAGCTCAATGATGTCTTAGTCACCAATACTGTAAACCTGTCATGCTGTGGAGAAAGAGACGGCCTTTCACATTTTGTAGCTGGTGTATAGGCCTCTTTATCATTGTGAGTTTAAGAAGCTTGGGCGTGCATCTAGATTTAAAGAGCTGTGATGACAGTTCCTATTTGTGTGTTTGTTCAGATCCTAGACAGATCTGATGATTTGTGTCTCTATAAATATAAAACTATTCTAGTTTGAATAGCCTAGAATTCACCCGATCAGGTCTTAGTACAAGTATGATTTCTATCTGGAATTTGATATTATTTTAAATAAATGCAATAGTGTCAAAGTGACAAAAGCATTATTTAAAATTTTTTTTAAAGTTATATAAGGGTTTAGAGAAACCTTCTAAAGTTTAGGACTTGACTGAAACAAGGCTATATGAGAATGTGTACTTTAGGGTATAATTTTAAATGAAGAGTCTAAGATGGTAATTGTAGCTCTGTGAAAGTCTCATGGTAGAATAGTAAATGGTAGCTTTTTGACCAAAAACAAAATCACCATGAATAAAAGACAAATTTTAGAAGTCAAACTGTAGTCTTTTAGAATCTACAGCAGCCATGACCTTTACTGAGAAAGCTGAACTGCACGCTCCTTATCAATCAAAACTAAATTAAAATGAACTAAGAGAAAGCGCATGCATTATACTTTGCAAAATTGTGAAATTAATATTCTAGCTATGTCACCTTCGCCTGCATCGGGATTGAGCAAGGGTGAAAGAGAGAGAGAAATCAATTCCACGAACTTTGGAGAATGTCAGAGTAAGAATCCATTGAAAACTTTTCTTCTCCCATTGTTATTCATCCTGTTCAGTGTTCCTTCCCACTGGTCTGGGGGTGGGGCAGGTAAATGCCACGAGAGAAAGTGCTTCTTCTGCACTGTTGTTGACCAAGAGTAGACCAAAGACAAGATGCAACACAAAGTAATGTGCATGTCTTTGCCAAGTCTGGAAATGTGTTGTGTAGTTGTAGTAATGGAGCAACCAGGAGGCTTCTCTTTAAACCTGGTGTTTCCATAACTTCTAATTATCAAAGGAATTCTTTTGACTGCTTTATTGGATTGGCATTGGCATTACCTAATGGAGACTAACTGCTTTGATTTTTCTCTACCCAAGGGTTTGAATATGAAGAAAACTGGACAAGATTTTATTAGTTCTATTTGATGTGGTGGTGGTTATGTGCCGACGAGTCGGTTTCGACACATAGCTACCCTGTATAGGGTTTCGGAGGCTGTAAATCTTTATAGGAGCTGAAGGCCCTCATCTTTCTCCTGCGGAGCAGCTGGTAGTTTCAAACTGCTGACCTTGGGGTTAGCAGCCCGACTAATAACCACTATGATACCAGAGCTCCTTTTCTATTTGATGTAGCCTCATAATTATTTAATTATTCTCAGAAAGATGAGTCTACATTGCTGCCTCCTAAAAAATTACTTCTAATCAAATTGCCTGAAATTAAGAGAATAAACATTTTGAGGGATGCAGTTAAGAAATCGTAATACAGCTATGAAGAAGAGATAGCAAGTGGCAACAGAAGAAAGAAAGTGTCTAATCCTGTGATACAAGGGGGCTTCAGAATGTTCACGGAAAAAATTCCATTGTCTTTCAGTCTCATTTTTCCACAAACGTTTTGAAGTCCCTTCATATGTTTTAGTACCAATACATCGCGAAAGTTATTTATATGGGTAAATGACATTTAGTTGACAGAAGCATATAATAGTTAAAATGCCAAATTTAACGTCAAAAGGCTTCCTTTGTAACCTGCCTGTAAGCTGTTGTATCATATTTGTGTTGATGTTTGTGACTAGTCATTGGTGTCTTTAATATCTTTGGTGTCATTGAGTATCTTTCTTTTCAACAGACAAGCTCTTGAAATAAATATGTCATTCTTGCATTGAATCTCAGACAGAAAAAAAAAGATTTTTGTTTTCTTATGGACTAAACTGGATGATAAGCCTAAATTTCTCAGCCACAGCGTCTCATACCACTATAGCTTAAACATACAGGAACAATTTAGGAAGTTGTTAACAATTTAGGCAGGAACCTGCTACACTTGGTATCACTGTAGGATGGGCAAATACTTCTGTGTTACAGGATGCTGAGAAAAATGGGTCTGGGCTGGGGGTTCTCTACAGATACCATTTCATTGTTGACAGAAAAGCCACACATTGGGAATACGTATGGCAGAGTCTGCCAGGAACCTAGTGTTGGCTGGAAAGCATTCCTGGACTATTTTGTAATAATCCTTCTGCTCAAGTGAACCAAAGACAGAGACATAACTTGATTTAATTTGTTGTTTCAATGAGACGATTATAGCACAAACCCTTTAACTAGCTATTCGAACAGAAAGAAAATATTGTTACCTTAGTGAGCACAAGAAAATATGATTCTCAACTGGGGTTTATGAGAGTTTCGTGCTGTAGCTAAGCGCCATGCTCCATGACGTTTTTGAGCTTAGCCTCAGCAATTATAATAAGAGCATGTTGGATAAAAAGAACCAGTTTCAAGCTGTGGTATTAAGGTAGCGCAAGGAAAATACCAGATTCATACATCTACTCGCCTGTTGAATTCCTTGCTTCTCTCTCGCTTGTTCATTTACTGTGCATCTTAAACTCGTGAATGAGTCATCGCTCACCACCTTAAAGTCTAAACAACTGCCTCCTTCTCCCCGTACCATTGTACAGAATTGGAGAATAATGCAATTCTTAGACCTACACACTCCTTCAACCCCAAATCCAATTAATTAAATCAAGTGGAAAGTGCACAGAAAAGTATTTGAAAACCTCCTTTGGGGCCACTAAATTTTATTTTTCATCTTTAAATGGAAGCAATGTCATTTTATAGACCATAAAACATACTATGTACATACTACAAGATTAAATAAGAATTAAATAGAAATAGCCCTGTTTTTATTAACCTAGTTAAGTCCTAAAGTGGTATTTAGAACAATTTTCATGTATATTAAACATTTTCTTGTGAACATTACTTTTCTTTAAGAAAAATAAGATTTTCCTTTTTGAGACCTCAAGCGTTACTGACTTTTAAAAGTAAAAGATTTCAAGTTATTAGATAATAAATTAATATTTGCAATCGTTGGAAGGATTATAGGCAACTGCTGGAGTAAAATAGTCACTCTAACAATGAGACATTGTCGAGTCAGTGCTGACTTTTAGTAACCCTGTATAGGGTTTCCAAGGCAGTGGCTGGTGACTTTGAACCGTTGACCTTGCAGTTCAAACTGACCTTGAGGTCCAGTACTTATCCTTCACTGCCATACCAAGACTTTAATAATGAACTGATGGAACTAACATCATAGGAAACTTTGTAAATTTGGAACTAATAGGATACTAACAGATTAAATATTAGCATTACTTATCTTGATTACTTAGGGATTGAAAGTGATTTAACAAGGCTTCTAAATCCCTAGATGCAGCTTCTGCTTCTGAAGTTACTCTTAGTATGAGAACGTGGTCACACATTGGTGTTAAAGCACATAACGATTTTTATTTTCTTAATTCTCCTGGCAACGGTACTGAGAAGGCATAGTCACAGCTGACTATGATTAGGAATTATCAAACAGTGATTAGTCCTTTGGAAAAAAGAAAGGGCTCAGTGACTATTCCATGTTTATGTTCCCGTGTCATCCCTCATTTCACCATCTAGATAAATTTGTCTCCTTGCCTTGTATTAGAAAGCTTTCATCTGCTCATCTGCCATCAGTATTGGTCCTGTGATTGTGTTCACCTTAGGAGCACAGTTCATGCATCAGAGAAATAATCTCTCTTTTCCTTGTTCCCTCTCTGCAGTTCCAGATTATCAAGAACAGGACATTTTCCTGTGGAGAAAAGAAACTGGATTTGGATTTAGGATTCTGGGTGGAAATGAACCAGGGGAACCTGTGAGTCTTTGTCTGCCCTCCTCTCCAGTGCTACTTTTTCAGACTTCAAAGGACACTGGTGGGAGTGACAAATCACCAAGATTTGAGTCCAGCTAGGTGCAACACTGAGCACAGTGTGGGAAATTGGTTAGAAGAAGGGACGAGCCTTTCTTTAACAACAAAAAAAATGTATTCGTGTTTGTGAAAAAATGGCGACTTCAGAATCTGGAGTTTCTCATCAAGAAGATGTAAACAAATAACAAACAGTTCATAAGAAGTTACCATCACATTTATTCAGACTCATGGCCACTCCAGGTGTTGCAGAATAGAACTGCACTCCACAGGGATTTTATGGCCATGAACTTGCAGAAGCAAATTGCCAGACTTTTCTTCTGAGGCTCCTCTCCGGTGGGTTTGAACCACTGCCTTTGGTTACTTAGTCAAGAACTTAATAATTTGTGCTGCCCAAGAACTCTTAAAAAAAAGCAATTAACTCCAAACCAAACCGACTACCACTGAGTTTATTCTTACTTATAGTGACCCTATATAGGGTTTCCTAGACTATAGATATGTATGATAATGTATAGACCCATCTTTTGCTCATGGAGGGGCTGGCAGTGGTGGGTGTATACTGTGGAGTCTATTCCAACTCAGAGTGCCCTGTATAAGGTTTCCGAGGCTATAAAAACTTACAGGAACAGAAAGCCTCCTCATTCTCCCATGGACCTACTGGTAGATTTGAACTGCTTCCCCTGTGGTTATCAGCCCAGGTCATAATCCACTGAGCTACCAGGGTTCCTTCCATGAAGCAGCTGTGGGCTTAAAATGCTGACCTTGTGGTTAGCAGACCTACACCTAACCCACAGTGCAACTAGGGTTACTTAAAAGAAAAAGGAAGTTGTTATTGAGTGCTGTCGAGTCAGTTTCCACCCATATCGACCCTGTATAGGGTTTCTGAGGAGCTACTGGTGAGCTTGAACCACCGACCTTGAGGTTGAAACCAACGTTGCAGTTCAGCGTATTAACCCACAGTGCCACACCAGGACTCCCAGTATCCTTTTGACAAATTTCTGTTAAATCTGTCTGCAGTTGGTTGATTCTGTATATTGATTAGCTAGTGCACAGAGATACTTTACAAGGCATTGTGAGAAGTTAGAGTAGGAACATGATCTTTACAAATGCAAAGCAAAAGCACTGAAAACAAATCAGGAGACATACATTTTAGTCCCAGACACGTGGCCTCCCTGCGCCACAGTTTCCTCAGGTTTTGAATCAGTATTCATATAGTACACCAGTGCAGGATACGTTTGAAAAGAGAAAATCTCTTTTATAAAATAAAATAACTTTTATTATAATGTTGTTGTTGTTAAGTGTCATCAAGTCACTTTTGTATAGGGTGTCCAAGGACCACCTGGTGGGTTTGAACTGCCGACCTTGTGGTTCGAAATCCAGTGCAAGTATTGTCTATTGAGGGGAGTTCAGTGATTCTGTAAGATAAGCCTAGGCCAGTGACCCACAAAAGTTAATGGTTCAAGCCACCAGGCACTTTTTGGGAGAAAGATGAGACTTTCTCTTCCCACAATGATTTAAGGACATGAAAACCCTATTACACAGTCACTATGAGTCAGAACCAAGTCCAGGGCACTTAACAAAAACAAGAATAACATTATTTATTGGAGGAACTCTGGTGGCACAGTGGGTAGGAGGCCAGCTGCTAACTGAAAGGTTAGCAATGTGAACTCACCCAGTAGCTCTGCAGGAAAAAAACATCTGTTCTGTAAAGATTGTTTCTGCTGTGTGCTGCCAAGTTGATTCACAGAGACCCTAGACGGCAGGGCAGAATTGCCCCATAGGGTTTTCAAAGCTGTAAATCTTTACAGAAGTAGATTGCCACATCTTTCTCCTGCAGAGCAGGTTGAACTGCCAACCTTTCCGTTATAACCAAGTGCTTAACGACTGGGCCAACAGGGCCCCTTCCCCATAAAGATTATAGCTGAGAAAACCTTAGGGGCAATTCTCCTTGGTAACGTACAGGGTCACTGTGAATCAAAAACTCACTTGGACACCAGGAACAGTAACATTTTGTATTGAGGGCTTATGTGCTCCATACCATGCTAAAAGCTTGGAAACTACATTTTACTGTTTATCCATCACATTCATGAATCTATCCCCATTATCAAATGGAAAAACACACACACACAGAAAAGTCGATTAACTTGCCCAAAATCATAGAGCTAGTAAATGGAGGGGCAGGAATGCTGCCTTACTACAGAGCTCATATTCTTAACCACAGTTGTGGAGATTCTTAGATTCTATGTACATTATAAATGCCAGGAAAAGGTGCTTGGATCATTGTTATTTACTGGGAATGCAAGGAAGCACAAATACTTCACATAGACTTCAGTGGATGGCAAATAAAACAGTAAAATACTAAAGACTGCTCTGCATTCAAATGCTAAAGCATTGCAGAAATGAGGCTGTCAAGCCAGACTTTGCTTCATTCATTCATTCAATCATGTTGTTGTTACATGCTATCGAGTCGGTTCTGATTCATAGCCAAGTAAAGGTACTTGTATCATTATAACTTCCTGGAAATGCAAGAAAGCACAAATACTTCATATATACTTCAGTGGATGGCAAATAGAAATGGATAGGGTTTCTAAGGAGCAGCTGGTGGGTTTGAACTGCTGTCCTTGCAGTTATCAGTCCAGTGCTTATCCTATAACAGTATTTACTGTATGCTTCTTAATTGCTAGGTTTTTTATGAAAGAAGAGCTTTTGTGTAGATAGGAAAGTTGACGAGTGGGGAGGAAAATGATTTATGGAGCCACTGGGAGGTGCAAACTTAATGTTCTTGACTGCTCATCAAAAGTTGGAGGTTTTCTCCCACTCAGAGGTACCTCAAAAGAAAGATCTAGATATCTACTTGCAAAAAATAAGTCATTGAAAACGATTTGTAATACAGTTGTGAGTTGGAGTTGATTCAACGACAGAAAGATATAAAGCGATTTGTATCAGCAAAGGGGTAAAGGATCATTCAGCAGACCACGTATAAACATAGTGGCACCGATCATAATCCATGGTACCCAGTGGGTGCTCAGCAAGTGTTTGAGGCATGCATGTATGCAAGAATGAATGAATTGAAGTGTTCTGAGAGGTGTGAAAGTCATGGCTGTAATAGTAAATCAAGAAGGTAATGTTTCACCCATTGTTCAATTACTCAACAGATTTATATCGGTCACATCGTACCACTGGGTGCTGCTGATACGGATGGTCGCCTGAGGTCTGGAGATGAATTAATCTGTGTCGATGGGACACCAGTAATTGGAAAATCACATCAGCTTGTGGTCCAGCTTATGCAACAAGCTGCCAAGCAAGGCCATGTCAATCTCACAGTGCGGCGGAAAGTGGTGTTTGCGGGTATGTTTATCATTCATTCCTTCACACAGTGCATTGTCAGTTTATGCACAGAAAAAGGCCCTCCTTCCTATGTCTGCCTCCTCACGCATCTATTTTAGCAAATGTTTGCAAATGTGACCAAGTTCAGAATTTCCAGATGGTTTGCTTTTCTGAAACCATACAAAACTACTGTCATTCAAAAGTACTTTTAATGTGTCATTTGAACATGTTCAGCAGAGGCTTCTATAAGATGTCTAGTCAAACATTCCCTTCACCCTGTGCCAAACAAACTTAGTCATCCTTTTCATTTAAAGATTGTTGTTAAGTACCGTGGAGTCGGTTCTATCTCATAGTGACTCTGCACAGGGTTTCTGAGGCTGTAAATCTTTACGGGAGCAGAAAGCCTCATCTCTCTCCTGCGCAACAGCTGGTAGTTTCGAACTGCTGACCTTGAGGTTAGCAGCCTGATTCGTAACCACTACGCTACCAGAGCTCCTTAGTTCTTAACAATAGAGTTCATTATGAAAGTCAGAAGTGTAGCTTCAAAATCAAAAGTCAGGGGTTTTTTTACTCTGTGGTTGACTATCATTTTGTTAAAGGGAAAATTTTCTCTTCCCTACAAATAAGTTGTCGAGCTGGTAATTCTTTGCCCATTTGGATTCCTTCCTCCTGGCCACCGTCTTCAAAGTTCTGTTGCTCTGAAAGCATGGCCTATCTCTTAAGGCTCAAATATCACTTCTGAGAAACCTTTGGAAGTCCTTTGCTTTCTTCAGCCAACTTTTTGCCATTCTTGTGACTCTTGCTTTACTGCTGTATCTAAATATGCCATTTTGAGACTGCTTGTAGTTTATCTGGAGTCCTGGGGGGTGTGCTGTGGGTTAATGCGCTGGATTGCAAAGTCGCTTTGAACTGCAGGTCAGCAGTTCAAGCTCATTAGCCGCTCCTTGGAAACCTTACACAGGGTCACTATGGGTCAGAACCGACTCGATGGCATTTAACAACAACAAAGTAGTATATCTATCTGCTCCACTGAACTTGCCAACATCTTGAAAGCACACATGTTGATTTTTCTTCTTTGTCTGCAGCATTCAAGACAGAACCCAGAGTGCGAAACAGACATAAAAAATGTTGTATCTATTGAATTACTGAAGAAGTATGACATGAAATATTGAATATGAATTCCCCATAGCATTTATATTAGTAAAACAAATATGTATCGGATTAAATTAATTGGTGCCATTATTATTTTTTTTTTCTCTAAGACTTTCATAACTCATGTTTAAATGTAAATAATTCATTATGGAGTTAAGAGAGCAGCTTTTAGTGTGAGCGTCTACTTTATGCACTTACAGAAAACAGTGTTAATCAGTCATGGAATATTCGTTTTCCAGAGATCTTTACAGCTTCAGAATTCTTCTTTCACAAAGCTTTCCATGTAGCCACCAGCAGTCTGTTGCAATTGAGATGAAATGAAAACTATGTTACTTGCTTGGTCCAAATAAAAATAGGGCAGTTGATTTTGTTTGTTTCAGATATATTTTAAAAATAATATATATATTCCTTAAATACATACATTAACAATAGAGTTTACATGTATTTAAGAAATACATATTTCTTATAGAATTTGGATTTTTAGTATTGTTCCCAAGGTGTGTTAAATCTATGAAGGGAAAAGCTTTGGGGAACACATACAATCTCATCCAAAACCTTGACACACATTTTGCTTTTGGCATGAAACCGTTAAGTTGGTCACACCTACAATGGTGATTCTGTAGAAGTTTTTTAACCTGTCACCTAACAAAGTAGTAAAGCTGGTGTGATGGCTAAATTCTGGGGATAGATTAATGATATGTGGAAGTAAGGGAGAGAAACCTAGTAGACCTCTGACAGGTACTGATGTCACCCATCCTACAATAGGGCTTCCTTAATGGTATAGTCAATTTACAGTCTTGCCTGATGGAAACGAAAAAGCAAAGCTGTTGAAAGCCAAGCAGAAATATGACTGGAGGGGAAAACCAAGACAAATGTGCAGTTAAGCTTGTATCTACAAAACAAAAGAGGTGGTTTGTCATTTGTGTGGCCCACACCTGCTCTTACTACAAGTTTTTATTTGATTTGTGCAATGGGAGCTATTTCAGTGCAAACATCTGTCTGTGTGTGGATGCTGATATGCAACATGCTGTATATTATACATGATTTGACAGTCCTTTTTTATGTTTAGGTGAGATCAAGGTTAGTGGGTATTGAGTAGTAAATACATATCGCAAGACGCTGTTTGCAGTTGTGTACCCTACTTTTGGAAAGCCGGATGCTGTGTTTTCTCATTTAATCTCTTGATTCCCTGCGTGTTGTGAAGTTAAGGGAAGGAAGAAGGAGTGGAGGGACACATTTTGTGTGTGAGTGTGTGAAGTTGGCACAATCTTGACATGAACTGCTCTATAACAGTTCCCAAAACAGAAAATGAAGTGCCCTCGCCAGCCTCATCCCATCACAGCAGCAACCAGCCAGCCTCCCTGACAGAAGAGAAACGCACCCCGCAGGGAAGCCAGAATTCTTTGAACACTGTGAGTTCTGGCAGCGGCAGCACCAGCGGGATTGGCAGCGGAGGGGGCGGTGGCAGCGGTGTTGTGAGTACGGTGGTGCAGCCTTACGACGTGGAGATTCGCCGAGGGGAGAATGAGGGCTTTGGCTTCGTCATCGTGTCTTCCGTGAGCAGGCCTGAAGCCGGCACGACTTTTGGTAAGTATTGGAAATGATTTCCCTTTGTGTTTCATATGATGCCAGGGGAATGTTTTGTTGCCTGTGAAAGATGGCCAAAAGCTCATTAACAGAAATACTTGAATGCTTTTCGCCTCAGGTAATTAAAGTCTTAATTGGGGATGGTGCTTATGTGGTAGGTTTTTTTGGGTTTTGTTTGGTTTTTTGCTTCTTGAAGCTTGTGTGTGTGTGTGTACATATATATAAAATATGTGTGTGTTAACCTTTTAGCCTCCATTCTGAATGTGTGTTTAAACACACACACACAAAACTTCACACCTACATGGGCATTTGAAATTTTGAATAGTAACCCCTGAACATTGAAGAGTATCAGAAATTTTGGCCAAGAGAAAGAGTTTTCAGAAAATGGGCTGCCATTAATACCAGTCACCTCAATAGGTCAAAGAGTTTTAAAGAGGAACATATGGTTGTTTAAATGCCTATGAAAAAGAGATGTGCAGCGTGAAAATAGTACACAAAATATCCTTTCCACTTCATCTGTGCCCTTTCTCTACTCCGTACCCACTGGGATTTGTTTTTTCAATTTGGTATAATATTTTTACTGTTGCCTGGTTAAGATTCTGGTTAAAATCTGAATTAAGATCCCTTTGTCTTTGCTGTCCTTAAATTCTGACAGGGAGGATCTTCCTGTCCCCAACAGATGCCGGGGGCTTCAGCTGAGTATGGGGAAACATAGTGTTACCTTCTGAGAAGGTTAACTAACTCTCTGCTGGTGTAAAGAACCCAGGCGATTCCAGGATCCTCTGCCTACGACTCGGCTTCGCATTAGAATAGGGTCTAGATGTGCACTCCAAAAATGAGCTGCCTCCCTGATTAGATAGAAATTCATTTGTTGCCTCCCAAACACATGCATGGATTAAGACAGAACATGATGAGACATGGGAAAGGCTGTGAGAACTCCGAAATTAACTTCAGCTCTACCCCCAAATGACTTAGACACATGGAGTCTGATGACCAGTGGTCCAGGCCAGAAAGCTATGTTCAGCAAGCTGTTGTATCTCATTAGCATTCTTATCCAATAGGAACCTCCATTTAGTCTGGGTACAGTGCTTCCTTCTAAAGTCATTTCCCCCTAAGTTGTGTTCATTCAAGGGGTCCACTAGGTCTGTGCACGTATGGCTGCAGTAACCGACACGCCTTCCTAACAGTGCTTTTGTGAGCTACCTTAACAAATAAACTGACCGTGGCATGTCGTGGGTGAATGACTTGTTTTTGAGCCAAGTTTTTGTTTTGTTTTGTTTTTTTTAAATTAATTTTGGAAGCTCTTCTGCTTAATTTTAGAACAAAGAAAAAGTGGGGGAGGGAAGAAATCCCAAGTTACTTTCTTTAAATCTTCAACTTGACTGTCCGCATATCTCTTGCGATATTCTCAGAGTTTCAGAATTCTTGCTTCTTTTTCCAGAGAAAAACAGCAGTTGTATCAAATGGCAGGCTGTGTAATATAATGAATATTGAATGTCTTCGCTCACCCTTTGACCTTTGATTATTTTCCTTTGGCTTTTACGCTGAACAAATTAAACTTTCTCTAATACTTTGCATGAGATTTCTGTTCTGAGCTATGCAGAGCTTGCTTCCATACCTGCTTTTCTGTGTTTTTCATGAAAGTTGTCCTTGATGTTATTGTTGTTGTTGTTAAGTGCTGTCAAGTCGATTTCAACTCATAGCGTCCCTGTATAGTGTTTCGGAAGCGTGACTGGTGAGTTTGAATAACCTTGTAGTTCAAACTGACCTTGCGGTCCAGTGCTTTAGCCCACAGCGCCATACCAGGACTCCTTTGTTGTTGTTAAGTACCGTGGAGTCGGTTCCGACTCATAGTGACCCTGCACAGGGTTTGCAAGGATGCAAATCTTTACGGGAGCAGAAAGCCTGCCGACCTTGAGATTAGCAGCCCGATTCGTAACCACTGTGCTACCAGAGCTCCTTAGAGATGGCATAAGTTTAATCAAGTCCTTGAATCTAAGTATAGAAACTTTCCACCACACCTATCTATTGGATTCCTGTAGACTGTTTACTTCCTTTTTCCCCCTTCTTCTTTGATATTGATGTTATATCCAATGACATAAATTCAGGCAAGTGTGCTGAAAGTTAAAGGAATTATATAGTGCATTGTCGTATGCATTTTATCTTCAGGGTCCAAATTATGATGGAAGAGCCTACTAACTAATTTCACTGCCAGCCATGTTACTTTTTTTTCACTCTTTCTAAAACGTGGCTCAACTACTTCATCTTTACAGCCCCCAGAAATACAATTTTCAAAATAAAAGGATATTCATAAGGAAATTTGAAATCCAATATACAACTAGCTGGAAACTCCATGTCACATCTCAAAGGCAGTTTTCCATGTCTTGGTTGTTACATGGACCACCTCAAAGTGCACAATAAACATTCCTCTTCAAATCTGCGTTTCCCAGTTCTTAGTATTGTAGATGTGTAGAAATTTAGAGTGAGTGAGGAAATGATGCAAGGAAAAGGTTTGAGGAATGATTTGAACCTCGCTTTGGATCACTGTTCTCAGCCTGTATGGGCCCTCAGTTTCCATACTCCTTTGAAGAGATTTTTGTGCAGAAAGAGAATGATTTCTGAGCCAGTGAACCAGGTAGGCCCTACTCTGAAAGTACACAACATAGGCTGAGTGAGCATAGGTCATCAAAAGAAAAATAGGTGTGAAGGTTGGGAGCTTTCTTGGCTCATCTCATAATTTTGCGTATCCCCTAACCTCTCCCCCACAAAAAAAGGTTTCATCATTCTGGAGGGGTAGTCAGAAAGTCTGAGTGTTTATCCATTAGGTATGTTCCGATTGAATTTTTCGTGCTAGGAGTCTCTTGTCTCATCAGACGCCTGGCGATTATTTTTCTAAATGGAGAAAGAGCAAAACATTGGCAGAAGCTGAAACAGCAGCTGGCAAAAATGAAGTGCCATGAACACAGAATGCGTAAAAGCGTCCATATCAGCTCTGGGTTTCACATTTGCAGACTCAAAATAAGCCAACCGCCAGTTATTTTTGGAGTCTTTAGAGTCTTTGAAGTTACTAAATGTTTTGCATTTTGTAGTTGATTTAAGGGAGAAAGCTGGGACCTCCCCGTCATTTGAAATTAGGAAAGGCCTCCAGCAATGATCAACAGTTTCAGGGCAATCATCCCTGACATTGCCAATGTTTTGACCCTCAGCGCAGAGCTCTCCTTTAATAACATTTGCTTAATGCTTTAATTAATTAACACTTAACCTTCTCTTTCCCTTTTCAACCCTTTTTCTCCTCCCTTCACTATATTCCCACGTAACTTAAAAAACAAAAAATTTAATTTAATACCAAAGCAGGCAATGCATGTGTGGCTATGCCTCACAAAATAGGTCGGATTATTGAGGGAAGTCCTGCAGACCGATGTGGCAAGCTGAAAGTAGGAGACCGGATCCTGGCAGTCAATGGATGTTCCATCACCAACAAATCCCATTCAGACATTGTCAACCTAATCAAGGAAGCGGGCAACACAGTTACCCTCCGCATCATTCCTGGAGATGGTAAAGTATACCTCTTATCTCCCTCTTCTTCTCTCTCTCATTAGTGTTCATGTCATTAAATAATGTTGACTTACAGACAAGCGTATTCATCCCTAACGGAACATACCCATCAAACAAACATGGATCATTGTTACTGAACCACACCTCATCGTCTTAGTCCTCCACATCTGTGACCCTGTCTGGCTTGCAGATATCAGAGTTTGAGCAAATCTTCAAACTTTCCCCCAACTCATTTTGGTTTTGGTGCCTTCATCTTTAAAAGAGTGTAATAATTTTCATATAGGTTGTAAAGATGTCCTGATGTTCTCTCTAGAGATCATTAATGTTTTTTTATTCCAGCATCTACTGAAATTTAACTATGTAATATGGTGACATCACAAAAGCATCATAATGACAAATTGGAAACAATGCTGTGTTAGTTTCAGAATAATTGGATGTGTCAAATTATTTGTGATACTTTTGTTGTTGTTTGTTTGTTTTTAATGTAATTGAAGAGTCTAAAGGTTTGTGCCTAATTGATTTGACACTAACTCTTGGATGTGATTGAAGATAGAATTACAGCTCTATATTTTGATAGATTATATTTACTTTAAATTCTCCCCGGTCTTTTTGTTTGTTCATTTGATGTGTTAAGTTCAAATCTTTGGTTTCTTTAAACCACTGGATCTCATCTGGGGGTGATTTTTTTTTTTTTTTTT